ATAAATATATGGATAATGGCGCTCCATCAAGGAATATCTTGACAGGTTTCACTCTAACTACGATAGAGTAATAGCGACATAACAGCCAAGTAAAATATGCACACTAGGCAAGAACAAGGATGCTTTAGTGGAATGAAGATTTAGGCTTAGAGTAGAGAGGAAATAATAATGATTACAGGAGACTTTCAATGTACATCGCAAAAGGCTTTCTCAATCTACTGAAAGCTACAGGGACCTTAGGATAAAATTTTTCAAAACTTGTTGCACAGATAAGATCAAATGGCACTGGAGCTCATCTTCCCTAACACTTGCTCAAATGGAAAAGACATTTCCTATGTAAATAATATATTTATATTTTGTGTGCAAACACAATTTATATTTATTATTATAATAACTGTTATCTTAAGTATACAGCCTCTTTTAATTTCTTGTGAGTATTTTCATGTCGTACTTTTTAACGTCTATTTGAATTTTTTTAGGAATATAAGATTTTGTTGTTGTTTATTAATTTAGGTTTACCGATAATTGTTTGTATGTTTGTTTGTTTGTTTAGAATTTCGCGCAAAGCTACACCAGGGCTATCTGCGCTAGCCGTCCCTAATTTAGCAGTGTAAGACTAGAGGGGAGGCAGCTAGTCATCACCACCCACCGCCAACTCTTGGGCTACTTTTTTACCAACGAATAGTGGGATTGATTGTCACATTATAAAGTTTCCACGGCTGAAAGGGCGAGCATGTTTGATGTAATTGGGATTCGAACCCATGACCCACAGATTGCGAGTCGAGCGCTTTAACCACCTGGCCATGCCGGGCCTGGTTTACCGATAAAACTCTGGTTTAATTATAATTTTTGTGCTTAGGTAAATACGTATTATTTTTTATTTTTGTCTTGTATTTTTAATTAAATGTTACTTAATTGTAATATGCAGATACTATTTTCATATGAAAAATTACCTAGATATTTTAATTGCTTTCAGTATTTCATAAAATAAATCTTGGAAGATTAGTGTATTTATATGATTTTTTTATTTGTTTAACTTGACTTTTATTTCTGGGATTAATTTTGATTTTATGTTTGTTTGCCTAAGGTCCTGGTTCTGTGCGGTTAGACAGTACGATTCAACGTTAATTAAACTTGATAAGCATTAGTAGTTTTTGTTTATTTATGTGTAAAGTTACTGAGGCTAACTGCTGTCGTTCCTCATTTTGAACTACTGACCAGGTGGATTGTTTGTTTGCTTATTGAATTAAGCACAAAACTAGTCGAGACAGCCAGCCAGCCAGTAGCAACTATCATCCACTATCTACGCTATTAAATTAGATGGCGCTCTTATAAAACACCTACAGCTTAAAGTGCGAAGAATATACAGGTTCGAACCCGGATAGCCAGGTCCGAGATCCAGGGTTATACCATTTTTAAGTTGTCTTTAAATGACCCACATTGAATTGGATTCAGAATAGTGATGTATGTATTTCGTCCTTATGGCAAAGCTACTAAGATTATCTGCCGTTGTACCTAATTTTGAGCTACTGACAAGAGGAAATTATGCCAGTTACCAGCACCTTACCACACACACACACACTACGAGATTGACTGTCACTCTTAAAAATGGAGGTAAAGAGAGTATTGATATTATATATATTATGCTTTACCCACCCATAATGAATTTTCTTTAGATTATCACAAATTTTGTGCACTTTGCTTTGGTATTATTCAGATAGTATATTATCAACCACTTAAAAACACGACATTATACACAATCACACTTTTCCAGTTCTTGTCAGTATACACTGTTTTGTCTTCTATTTGGTCCGGTGGGCCTTAATGACAACTAGCTAGCTTCTGAATTTTCTCAACCGAACGACATATAGGAGGCTAGGGCTTGTGATAACCAGATTACATGACCAGCTGGTAAAAGTCATGACGTTTGTCAGGTCAGTCAGGGCTTAGAAGTCAAATACAGACACGTTTTAGAAGTATATATAGATATTGTAAGTGTAAAATAGAAATTAATCTAGAAATGTAATATGTTTGCTATTTTATCTCTAATCATGTTTGTAACGTAGTTTTCTTATAAGTTCAGATTTTTTTTGTTTTTGTTGGCCATACTGTGCCAGTAAAATCTATTTTACTTTTTCGAAATGTATGTGTTCTTTCTGTCGAATTAAACATCTACAACAGACACTCTCCTGTTACTGGAGGATTTACCTATTTGATGTAGGATTGCTGCATTTCAAATTAAATTCACATATCAAGTGTTACAAACATGAAAACATATAATCCAAATATTTCGCCTATCATATATGTATATGTCCTAATAGATAAATATATCGTTATATGTAATATACTATTTCAGAATACAGATAAATGTTCTGAGATATGCCGTTCTATGGTATATCTTAGAACATCATTCTATGTGATGTTTTATGAGTTATTGACATTAACATTTTAAGAACTGCTAAGCTTTTACTTTTATTCGAAAAAGTATACTTTTTAAAACAAAACAAAAAGTAAACTTAAATGAAGCTTATAGCTGAAACTGTCATTATGTCCCATACATTTTTTGTTTTATGTCAGTAACATAATCATGGATATAACTTGCAATGTCGAAAAAAGTGTATTTTATTATAATAGTTTCGATGTTACTTATAATTCCCCAAAAAATTCTTTAAACATTTGTAAATTGTATTGAAAAAACAGAAATGTGATTTTTAGTATCTCAAAATAGAAACAGTGAAATGGAAGAACAGGTTGAGAAAAGTGTTGAATTTTGTTTTCAAAGTAATCTTATTTATTAAATATTCGTATATTTCCTATTTAATCCTTTTCTTTTCACTTACTCGTTTAACATATTACTTAAAATAAATGGCCTAGACAACTAATCCCTTATAATTGAAAGTTGGAGTAAGTGATTCTAAACCCATACCATAAACCCAGCACTTTCTCATGGAACATTTTACTTAACTGTGTTGTTTCTTTGTAAGTTTATGATAAGAATCGACTCCCCTTGTGTTTCTGACATTATCCAGAACATCCTACTGAGACTACACATTAAAGCAAGACCCAATACTATAGCAGTCAAGCAATATCCCCCTTTTCACGTGAACACAAGCCTGAGCCAGCCAAAGATAAAAGCTTATGGCGAGGATTCTCTGATCAGTTGTTGAGATCATTCCTAAAGAAGGCTGTTGTTAAGCGCTGGCTTTGATGATACGATATCAGAACGTAGAACCTATTTCACCTGAACATAACGTACTGTAAACCAGTCGAACGTCAGGAATATTTCGGTTAGACAAGTAGAGTAACTCATAGATACAGGAATGTTATCGAAATATTTCAAATGTCGTTTCAAACCAGCAGTACACTTACTAAAGAAAGAAATAAGTTTGGTAAGTTGAAGAAACTAATTTTCGTAAAGTGTAATAAAATACTAAAATAGAAAAGTGTGGTAAAATACTATGACAAGAAAATTTTACATCGTCCTTTAAAGTCATATTAAATAATGATGAAATTTATTCATAGCAATATCGCTGTAATTCTTGTAGACAATACACACACACACACATATGTATATATACACCACCCACTTACTGCTCAACGAAATGGAATCTCCTCACTTACCGGCAAATGTTAATGAATTCTATATCAAGATATTTTAGTTAACTCCTGTGGTAGCTTCACAAATCCTTTATATATCAATACTTCCACTGAACTTTACCGATCAGTTTAAATTAGCAGTTTCTATGTAGAGATCATAATGGATTAATTTAGTATTTTGTAATGCAGGAATATATAATAGCCGTTATTAAAACAATATAATACTATGAGTGTAAAAGCTACAAATTCGTTTCCTAACCAATGTTTCAGATTTCTGATATTCCTAAGTGATGTACTTTGATAGTTCGAATCTCCAATGTCTATTATATCAATCTGAGATCAGCAAAAAGAGTATCTTTAATAAAACAGTCGTTAACTGTGAAAACGGTTTTATCTGTTAAATATATACTTCGCTATTCGTGTCGAGAAAACCGGGAAATAAAGTTTAAAAGAAATTTTAAAAACGTTTTTAATGTACTGTGGTTTATTATGAAAGTAAAAACATGCCATTATCGAGTTTTCTTTACTTTTTCTGAAATGATAACGTTCGCTATTTACTCCATATGCCATTAGAATGTTTAGGTCTGAGATTATTTTTCTAGTACGTTTGTAGAGAGATTATATTCACTGATTCGGTACCATAAACTTGTTTCTTTAATGAAAACAAAATTATTTATTTCTCCACTGACCAAAAAAAAAAAGGAAAAAAAGTCTAACACGCTCAAACCATTTTGAGAACATTTTGATGGATACAGAAAATTGAATTTTTAGTTTTAGAGATTTGGTAAATTAAGGCCCTAAGTATCTCGGATAACCAATATAATAGCAACAGTCCAGGATGAAAAAAAAACTGGTTCAGCATCTCATGCAGAAATAGTATACGAGACAGAAATCATAGGTCAACTTGCCCAAGTGTGGAAGTAAGGAAACATTGGTAAGCATTAGGATATGAACTATAGATGCTTACATTGATTATTCCAAGATAATATTGAATGAGTTATGAGAGTTCAGATAACAGCCAAAGTGGGCTCCCTCAGAGTTATGTAGCAGCACAATAAACAGTGGTTTCAAAGGCTGTTCTTCTGGAAGCCTCTAATAGAGTCCCTGACTTAAACGTGTACTATAATGACATCGACAGCAGAAGAGGGATCATTCTAACGTCTTACTTTAGGACCATAGAGAGATAGTGAAGAGGAGTTTGGATAGTATTCCTCGGGAACAATGAAAACCATTGACAAATAAACTCAAGGAGTTGTTGATAATCAGTCTTCTTTATTACTGTTAACTAAATAAAACACAACTATTAGTTGTACATAGTTTGGAAAACGTTTTTTTTAAAGCTTTACATGTTTTGAAAAAAGATTTATAAACTGTATATAAAACTAATCAAAGAAGCCCTCCCTGAAGACTTGTGTATTTCCTAATAGAAAATAATATAACTCCTGTTATTGTTGGAAGATATCATGTATTTCTTATAGAAAACAATATAATTCCTGACTTATTGTTAGAAGATATGGTGTATTTCTTATAGAAAACAATATAATTCCTGACTTATTGTTGGAAGATATCATGTATTTCTTATAGAAAACAATATAATTCCTGACTTATTGTTGGAAGATATCACGTATTTCCCAATAAAAACAATATAATTATTGCTGATTTACAATAGTATAACAAGAGGTGTTTAATAACATCATGGATGTTTCAATTATCCTGTGTTAAAAGATATAGACATGAATATGACAACAATTTATATATACACCAATAATGATAAACCTATCGAGCAAACTCCAGATAATTATTATAAGCAATACAGAGATTACTGAAGAAGAAATTAGTCACATTACGGAGAAAACAAAATTAAACTATGGTTGTGAAGATTCTGCATCAAATTCTGAAAGTTCAGAATTCGCGTGACAAACCCCTACTACTTACATACCCTGTTTATGGAGCCTTGCCTTTTTAACTAGATTTCTCAGCACTGCAGAGTCATGTGGAATTGGATGAGGCCACTATTAAGAAAAAAACATTCTTTTTTTCTCTCTAGTTGCAGAATGCATGGAATATTAGTAATTCATTTCAAAATAAGCCCAATCTTCCTAATTTTGTACTCCAATAGAAGAACTGTGCGATTATTTCATCATCGAAACATTCGGCGAAATATTTAGCAGCGAGAAGCAGTTAATGCAAATAATAATGCAACAAGGTAAAAAAAATATTTAATAAAAAGATATAACATCATTTATTTTTTAAGTGATCGAGTATAAGACTAACTAAGAGAAGATAGAGACAGTAAAAAAGACTTAGTATACCTACCAATGAAAAGGTGATGAGTTTGAATCCTTGTTTCTGAACTGGACCATCTTACATCAACTGCTACTAACTTGTTTAAAACCGACGTGGAGACTAAGTGAAAGAAGAAAAAGTGCGTGTAGCTGTCACAAAAAAAAACAACAAAAAAACTATACTGGTGCCAGTCTGGCCCTAGCCTCGAAAGATGTATTGATTACTACCTTCAGCTCATGGGTTGTTCTCACATACAAGATTACCAGCAATATGTCATTAAGGTACGTAAACTTCACAGAGAAGGGGGGGGAGAAGACATGCATATATTCAGAATAGTGTTACCTCTGACAAGATTTCCGAATTCGAGTGGATCACACATAACTATGACGGCTTGTGAGATTTCAAGATCCAGAAATACACTGAAGTTTCATTTTTGTATGATGTATTTTCCATACTATATATAACTTAGAACATGAATATGATCAGTTATGAATATATTATTTCTCAGAATGCCAACGATTTGTATACTGAAAGTACGAATAATTCAGATTATTTATATAACTATGAAAGAAAATATCAGTTAGACTACAGCAGAGTTAAAACATGAGCCGCGACCTAACCGAGGTATAATATTGGTTACCATATCTGAGGTTGAGTGAAATAATGTGTTCAACATACACTGAAGTGTGAGCACGAAGCTGAAATTCGGAATGTTAATGTTCACCTTTGACTAATAGTACTTTGATCCCTAAATAGAGCAGTATGGATTATATCAAGTAGCTCATGAACAAGAGAAAACCAGAGAATTGAGAAAACGCTGCCTGTTTTTTTTTCAATTAAAAATTCAACTGACAAGGACTGACGTGAATTGCACTTGGCGGTTCATAGAGTCTACTACTGAACATTGAGATATCATCTAAGGCGAATTAATTAACACCATCATCTCTTTGAAACAACATTTCATGGCAACTGCTATAGTTATATACTATTTCACAAAACAGACAAAATTGAACCTTATACTAGACGGACTTCTCTGTTCAAACTATTACAGAGATTGGTCAAAACTAATCATCACTGGGAGCAAATTTTATAATTCTTTTATTAACTAAATCGTGCAGTTTTTAAACTTAAAAAAAAACAAAATTTCTCGAATAAGCTCTCGAGTCAGATAAACTTGTTAAGTAAATGTCTGCCAACTAAAGATAATGATGACATATTTAATGACACGTGTTTGTACTGAACAACACTAATAAGTTTTATTTCCTACTCGGGTGATGTTGTACATGGAAAACAAACAAAAAAAGAACCTTTACAGTAGTTGCAATTATCAACATAAATACAAAACTGAGAAATATCCAAAAATCTACCCTTAAACATGCGTTGGACAGTTAATTATTAATTTTTAGTAAAACAATTTGTATTATTAAATGAATACAATGATAACAAATGTGTTAGAGACAAGGTTTATTTGTTTGGTTTGAATTTCGCGCAAAGCTACACGAGGGTTATTTGCGCTAGCCGTCCATAATATAGCAGTGGAAGACTAGAGGGAAGGCAGCTAGTCATCACCACCCACCGCCAACTCTTGGGCTACTCTTTTACCAACGAATAGTGGGATAGAATATCACATTATAACGCCCCCACGGCTGAAAGATCGAACATGTTTGGTGGGACGGGGATTCGAACCCGCGACCTTCAGATTGTGAGTCGAGCTCTCTAACCACCTGAAAGGTTATAGTTTAATTATAAAATATAGGAATGACTTTAATATAATAGAATAAACACATCAGTATCTAGGAGGTTTAAAGAGCAATTTGAAGCATTTTTTTGGGCAACAAAAATTCGCAAATTTATAGTCAATGCTTTTTCTGCTGTGTTTTGAATCTTCTGAAAAACACGAAAACTCTTGAAACTAATCTTCAGAATAAATTTAAAGTTTCGTGTCGTGATTACAAACTCGATTCATTTTTGATTATTTTCCAAAATGAGGTTATAACGAAAATCTGTAGCCGTGATATTTCACTTTAGGCAAAGATTGCTGAATTTTGAATGTTGTTGAGTCGAATGATGTGAAATCTCAAATAAACTAGGAAAATTTATTAAACATTTAAAAGCAACTTTAAAAAAAAATTGAGAATCAAAAAATATAATAACTGCTTTAAGGCAGCTTCAAACCTTCTTTTCAAAGAACATGGAAAGGTTTTTTTAATAGTCAGTGTCTTTATTTTCTTAAATGATGTTATAGGAATCACTGTCTAAGCTATACTCTAGTTTGTGGAAAGAAAACAAAAACCCTATGGTATATTCCAATATCACAGAAGAAGAATGTAATAATTGCTGTTTGAAGAAAACTGTTTTTTTCATTGCTTGTTGGAAAACTACCAGAAGTTACAACAAAGTAAAGATATAAAGATCTAAGCTTTCTCTGAAGCAAGATGTAGACACGTTTAGACTCACACATTTAAATTCAGACTCATGATGATTAGCGTAAACTCAAGAACAAAAAAAAGATACATGCTTCATTTAGAGGTGTATATTTTTCATATATATATAGAGAATTAATTCGTTCTTTTAGATTTTAAACTACGAAATGAACAGTAGCATATAATATCAGACGTTCTAAGTATAATATGAATATAACTATACAGCTAAAGCGAAAGCTAGCAAAATATAATGATAGAAAATAAACATGGATTGAGACATATCATAAAGAGATTATATCATTCTTTTTGGGAAAACACCCTAACCTGAATGTTATATAGATTTAATGATTTATTTTTACTTCAAAGGAAATGACGTCACTAAGGATATATTCTTACTTTAGAGGAAATGAGGTCACCGAGTTTCAAACAATGAAATTCTTGAGTGCTTTCAAAATTATTGACAAATAAACAACAACAACAAATCACAGGAAACATGGTAACCAAAATGCTACGGTATTTACAAATAATAAAAATCATAAAATCAATTCCAACAGCGCGTATCTAAACAAACTTGATGAAATGGCATACCTATATTTACAGTTTTAGTAATCAAAACAATTAAATAACAAAACATAGGATTTTATTAATTTAAATAGCTGGAAGTAATTAATCAAATCTTTCTCAGAAAACGTTTAAATATATTTTTACTTAATGCTTTGACGTCATTTTAAAATGATATTAGTAGTGATTTTTTAAGTTGGCTTTAAATGACCCACGTTGAATTGGATTCAGAATAGTGATGTATGTATTTCGTCCTTATGGCAAAGCTACTAAGATTATCTGCCGTTGTACCTAATTTTGAGCTACTGACTAGAGGAAATTATGCCAGTTACCAGCACCTTACCACAACCACACTAAGAGATTGACGGTCACTCTTAAAACGTATACACAACTTAAGGTATGGAGAATATTTTGCGGCATGGCTCGGAATCGATCCCTCGATCCCCACTCGACAGCTTCAAAATCCATAGTTGTACCACAGAGTATACCATTCTTTGATAAACTGAACACAGGTATACACGACTATACAAGAGATCGTCATTCTTTGATAAACTGAACACGGGTATACATGACTATACAAGAGATCGTCATTCTTTGATAAACTGAACACGGGTATACATGACTATACAAGAGATCGTCATTCTTTGATAAACTGAACACGGGTATACATGACTATACAAGAGATCGTCATTCTTTGATAAACTGAACACGGGTATACATGACTATACAAGAGATCGTCATTCTTTGATAAACTGATAATGGCGTTGTATTGTGTGTATCGTGGAACCTGTTAATGATGCATTAGTTGTGTTGTATTTAAATAGGGTGTTTTTATAAATATGTTCAGTATAAAGGAATATCACTCAATGTTTCCTGCATTTAAGATTACATCCACAACTGGTTTAGCATTGCAATGTCTGTGTTGGACTGTAATCTCATATTTTGGATCATTAAATAAAATTAACTGGTTTAGGACTAACTTAGTTTATAATATACTTGCGTGCAAGACTATTAGTGTTGTATAGTACACGTTAAGCGTGATTACATTGTATTAAGAATCATAATGTGATGCGTATTGGCATTATCGCGCTTTATAGATGAATCATTAATGCCAGTATTAAGCATGTTTTTACACATCTCTGGTGATGCATCTGTGTCATACACTTGTATTAATAGAACTTTCAGATGTTGAACAGTATCATTACTCGTCATCTGCTGGAAACGACTTACCCAAAGAATCAACGTCATCAGACGTCTGATGAACAAGCTGTATACGAAAGTTTCGTAATAACAGGGAAGTATGCCATACAATTAGCTGAAGTTACAACTGTTTCGTGCAAAACTCTCCGTTAAGAATCTGGATTTAAATCTAAAATAACAAGTTCCGTCTGAAAGGATACGAGTCTATTGGAAATTTAATATGGAAATTATTCACGCGAAGTGAGTGTTAAGAAAGAACTTTTATGTAAAAGTATCTTGCTCTGTTAATACTAAAATAACAATGGTTGTGAAATAGTCACGAACTCTAGTAGTGGATAATCATTCTTTGTAATGAATCTCGTGAAGTTGTATAGATTATACCACATCTTGAAAATGGAAACTCTAGCTGTGGCCAGAGATAACGCCATTGATTAACGAGAAGACAGAAATATAAGTAATATGAAGGAAGTCCGTGGATAACGAATGGAAAAAAAATCACAAAAACAGATAATATTTTTATTGCACGCTATGTACATCTATATTTAATGTTTTATATCAACCCAACGGTGTTTCTCTTGTTCTATGTATCATTATATTCTGTTTTATGTGCTTTCACGTCCGAGTGGATTAGTATTGTGAGCACATTCTATATAGAACAAAGTTTAGCAGATTTTTGTATGTAAGCAAAATGAACACAGCCAGTCAATAATACGTCTGATTCTGTGTTTATTTATAGGATAACACAGTGTTAATATGATTCAGACACAATGTGAATTTTTAGAAGTACTTATGACATTCTGTGTTCAATGACAGGATAACGCGGTATTAATATGATTCAGACACAATGTGAATTTTTAAAAGAACTTATGACATTCTGTGTTCAGTTAAAGGATAACCCGATGTTATTATGATTCAGACACAATGTAAAGTTTTTAA